TCGGTCGTGGGGCTTGAACTCTGGGCCTGGGCGTTGTCCCTCAGCTCTTCAACTCAAGGCGAGCGCTCTACCACTTGAGCTACAGCGCCACTTCCTACAGAGAAAAAACTTTTAAGTCCTCTTTGAGCTACCAGGAGGGTTGAGTGATACTGAGCTTATCCTGCAAGGTAAGGGTGGGGGAGGGAAGGCTTGTTAGGAGGCTGAGGAGGGCTTGTATTTTGTTACTGAGATAGAAACATTGCGTTTCAAGGGACTCAGCCATCAATCAGTGCCACGAAGGGTCCCCATATCCCCACAGCCTTGTCCTGAAGGATGTCTCTTTTGACATTGCTCCTGCCCTTGAGTCAGTGCTGGCTGTGGCTCACAGCCATGCCTTCATCAGGCTCTCTTTCCTTAAAGGAAGGAGGTGTTTTGTCTTCTTTATCCTCATTATCCCTGCACACTGTGCCTTGGCTAGAAGTAGGCTGGCTTTCTTTTTATCATCAGTTTCTTTTTCTTTTTTTTTGTCAGTTATGGGGCTTGAACTCTGGGCCTGGGCACTTTCCCTCAGCTCTTCAGCTCAAGGCTAGCACTCTACCACTTGAGCCTCAGCACCACTTCTGGTTTTCTGGTGGTTTTATTGGAGATAAGAGTTTCATGGACTTTTCTGCCTGGACTAGATTTGAACCGCGATCCTCAGATCTCAGCATCCTGAGCAGCTAGGATTACAGGCGTGAGCCACTTGCTCCTGGCATCAGTTTCAATATTATAGTAAGAAATGATTTTGAAATGTATTGGTTTAGGGTGCCCACATGATGCCAGTTGCTGGTGGCTCATTCCTATAATTCTAGCTTCTCAGAAGGCTGAGATCCAAGGGTGGAAATCCAAAACCAGCCATTAAATTCTTATCTCTAGTTAACTACCAAAAAACCAGAAGTGGAGCTGCAGCTCAAGTGTCAACTTTGAGAGAAAAAGCTAAGGGCCAGTGCCCAGGCCCTGAGTACAAATCCTAGTATTCACATGCACGCATACACAAATGCTCACCTGAGTAATTCTCCTAAAACTGTCCTAAAGCACTTAGTCACAAGTTGAATGATGAAGCTCTGGTATCCTCCTGCCCATACTCTTCCCAGCCTGACCCTAGCCCACATCCTGTTTTTAACTTCTATGAGACCTGGTCTACTGGGTGGCACTAGCTGAAAGTTGAAGTGGTTCTCAACTACATCCTGTTGCTCTCTGTTAGAGACCCTCTCTACACTGACTCCTTGCCTTTCGATCTTCCTGAAAGGGTTAGTGGTACCCAGGGAATGTTTCTCCCTAATGCCTTCTGTAAACACCAACACACAATTAAGGTCAATTCAGGCCTTTATCCAGTGTCTAGACTTTGTGACAGACTTTGCCAGAGAGTCTCATAGAGCAGGCTTAGCTGGGTGGGTACTGGTGGCTCAGACATGTAATGCTACTCAGGAGGCTGAGGGTTACAGTTTGAAGCCAGCCCAAGCAGGAAAGTCCATGAGATTCTTACCTCCAATTAACTACCAACAAAAGCCAGAAGTGGAGCTGTGACCAAGTGGTAGAACACTAGCCTTGAGCACAAAAGGTCAGGGATAGTACCCAGACCCTGAGTTCAAGCCTCAGGACTGACATACAAAAAAGAAGCAGGCCTGGAGACACTGGTGGTAGTCTCTATGTGACACTGGTTAGCTGTGGTAGAAAGTTACATAATCAGCCCAAATAACACTTTCTACCTGATCGCCCTGTCTGATAAATGAGAGTTATTGAGGATTTTGTTTGCTTTTGCTTTTAACTGCCCTCAGCAGCCTGAGAAGCTGTTACATTGACCTTGCCCTGTAGTTCAGGCAGTCTGTGTGGTGGTCTAGGGCTGCATCTCTTAAGTCTGGATCTCTTTTCCAGCCCAGCTCCAGCTCCAGCAGGTGGCGCTGCAGCAGCAACAGCAGCAGCAGCAGCAGCAGTTCCAACAGCAGCAGGCTGCACTACAGCAGCAGCAGCAACAACAGCAGCAACAGTTCCAGGCACAGCAAAGTGCTATGCAGCAACAGTTCCAAGCAGTAGTGCAGCAGCAGCAGCAGCAGCTTCAACAGCAGCAACAGCAGCAGCAACACTTGATTAAGTTGCATCATCAAAATCAGCAACAGGTACTAGGTCTCCCTGTTCCCACAGTGAGTCTCTGTCTTGAAGTTCATGAGCCCAGAAAGTTGTCAGCTTCAGTATTAGATGTGGGGAACTTAAGCTGTCCCTCCTCCTCCATGGGCTTCCTGAAAAATATGGGACAGAAGATACTGCACTGTCTTGGGAAGAGGATGCTACATAGTTCGGAAGGTTCTCTCAGATAGCCCTTGGCTCTGGATTGCAGACCTGCCATATGCCAGCAGAACTGGAAGTCTTTCATATTAAGAGTTAGCTCCCACCTGTAATCTTAGGAGGCTAAGACCTGGAAAGATCATAGATTAAGCCAGCCTGAACAGAAAAGTCCACAATACTATATCTCCAGGTAACCAATAAAAATACTAGAGTGGAGGCATGTCTCAGGTGGTTGAGTACCAGCCTGTGAACAAGAAAGCTAAGCAAGATCATACGACCCTGAGTTCATGCCCCAGAATGGGCATGAGAAAAAAGGAAAAGAAAAAACAAAGACACTAACTGAAGCAAGAAGAGCAAGAAGGAATTCTGAGATTCAGTTTTCTTCAGAGAATATACATACGTTCAGTTTTGTTTCTGCTGCTCTTTGGTACAATACCAGTTCAACTCTCCAGCTGTTTGTTAGGTCAGTAGCAGTGTCATCTTAGGGATCTTGCTGGCCAGAAGCTGCTTTGTCTTCACATGGCTTGTGTTCAGAAGTTAGACATGTTCAGTGTCTATCCTCTTGGAAGGTTGAGGGAAGAAAGCCCAAAAGGGGCCTGCTGGTCCTTGGATCTTAGCAATACCTCTCCCAGAGCTGACAGTGTTTGCTCGCTGTCCTCATCCTATAGAGCAGACTTTGAGATCCTCACAAGGCTCATACTGCTGACTTGTCACTCTACTCCAAAGTAGCATTAGAAGAATTCTGCAGCTTCTAGCTCACCTGCTATGGCACTGTACCTATTATTTTACCTCTTACGAACCTTAGATATTTCTCTTGAACCATCCCAGAGACAGACCAGTCTCTATTGTCCAGGGCACAGGCACACACTTGATGTGTCGTTCATGACTGGAAGATGGCTGGCGTGGTCCTCAGAGGCACAGAGCCCTTGTGGTAAATGTGCTTCCCTCCCTGTGTCAGAGGTCAGCCAGGCAGGCCTTCCTGAAAACTGAATTTATGCCTCCAACTGGACTCTATGGGATCGAGGATGGCATAAGGAGCAGCTGAAGCCCCAGAGGCTTATGGGTAGTAACCCAGTGCTATTATTCTGTTTTTAGATACAGCAGCAGCAGCAGCAGTTGCAGAGAATGGCACAGCTGCAGCAGCAGCAGCAGCAACAGCAGCAGGTGATGCAGGCCCAGCCTCCAATACAACAGCCTCCAATGCAACAGCTGCAGCCTCCTCCTTCCCAAGCCCTCCCACAGCAGCTGCCGCAGTTGCATCACCCACAGCACCACCAGCCTCCGCCACAGACGCAGCAGCCCCAAGTTGCTCAGAACCAACCACCACAACTCCCGCCACAGTCACAAAGCCAGCCTTTGGTTTCACAGGCTCAAGCTCTCCCTGGACAGATGTTGTACACTGCTCAGCAGCAGCTGAAATTTGTGAGTACCTAAGGTCCACTGTGGAACACATGCTTCTCTCCTCATGGTGTCGCATATAATCAGTGGCTCTGTTAGCAGCAGTTCTACTGAGGCTAATTTGAGTTTAGGAAGGTTTCTTGCTGCAGTGGGCTTGGGGAGTCCCTCCCCAAGCCAACCCTCATATCTGGCTCCATAGTACAGGCCAGCAAGAGAGATACTTCCACATGCTACACAGAGATTCACAGATGTGTGGCTATGTGGAAAGTTGTAGTAGTGTCCATTGGGCATTAAGACAGTGATGGTTAGATTGATATAATCGCACCACGTGGGAGGATGTGCTGGGTATCAGGCATCCATAGTGCTTTACTTGTTGCTGGGAGCTATGTTCTATGCCAAGATTTATTTTTATTTTTATTTTTGTGTGTGTGTGTGCTGGAAATTGAAATCAGGGTCTCATGTAAGCTAAGCATGTGCTTTTGCACTGAACTACACCTCCAGCCTTGAGCCAGGTTCTTTTAGCCTTGTCATTACCATATTTTTGAGAGGCATATTCACACAAAATACTATTTATTTTCAATCTCATTGTACATCTGTGTACAAAATGAGTCCTATTTTAACAGAGGACAGAATATTGCCACCAAGCAGAGGTGGCTGTGAACAAGATCCATTTGAACATCTTTTGAGCTACTCTGAGTTTTGCCCTTTTCTATTTGTGATTCATTGAATGGCATGAGGACAAGGGCCTTGCCTGAGCTGAGTGAGAGGCCTTGCAGAGGCACAACATCCTGGGGTGTAGTGAGGAATGGATATGGTCCCTTACTTGTCACCTGAACCTTTGTGAGCTTCTTGGTGGGCTGTGCTTCTTGTGGGGATTGGTTCTGGCATCCACAAATGTCTAGGGAGGAGTTCCCTATTTGCACCTGGCCAGTGTGAGCCCCTTGTGGAGGCTTCTCCACGTGGAGGTCCCACAGTTGTCTGCTTTTCCTGCCTCGCTCTGTTGCCACATTCATCTTTCCAGCTCAACCTGCTACAGGCTGGCAAGCCCTAGTTTCCTTCAAGGTGTCTGGGCTCTGAATGAGGCTCTTGTGAACTGTCAGTGTGTTTGACCAGAAGGATGAGTGAGCTGGGCTGTGGACTTAGCTTTGGAAACCATCGCTTTGCTCCCATGATGGTTAGTGTGATGAGTATATGGAGAATCCCAGTGGAGTTCTCAGTGCTGAATCCCAGTGCAGTTTCTCTCCAGAGTTAGGAAAGTGGGGCTTGGCCTTGCAAACTTGATATTTCTGATTACTTTATGGGACCAGGAATGGAAAGTAAAGTGACATCATAGTCTGAAATCGTGATAGCATCATCCCCCACCTCAACAAAAGGCTTATCAGATCTCACAGCTCCCACACAGGTAGTGGGTGCCCTGCTCGCTGCCCTGGGTAGCTCCAAGTTGCATTCTCCATTCCTCCCTCAAGGTCCGAGCTCCGATGGTGGTTCAGCAGCCGCAGGTGCAGCCCCAGGTGCAACAGGTACAGCCTCAGGTGCAGCAGCCGACAGCAGTGCAGACAGCTCAGGCTGCCCAGATGGTGGCTCCCGGAGTCCAGGTGAGGGCCTTGAGAGCCAAGGGCTTCTTTAGTCACTAGCAGGTACATGTGCAACCAAGCACAAAGCTCAACAATGAGGGTCCTGGTTGGATTAGGGGCCACCTTGGTAGTATGGAGTCCTCTTCCCCTTAAACTCTACAAGATACTCCTAAGGTCCTCAGGGTAGCTAGCTCTGCTCAGGTCCAACTGAGACCTAGTAGTTGCATAGTGCATGTTGTTCCCACTTCCTTGGGCTCCCATCATCTTTGCCTCCTTTCTATTACCCTGAGAGGTGATTAGAGATGAGTACCAACTTCACCTTCCCTCAGCTTCCACTGAGCTAACTGGGGTCAAAGGCAACTTTCTAGAAACTAGGAAGAAGACAGGAATAGCACTAGGCATCTGGCTTCAGAATGCTTGCATGAGCATGTGCTGCAACAAGTAAATGAGAGAGGGCATCAGAAGCTTGCCCACCGCTAGAGACTCCAGTACCTTGTGGGAAAGGTGTGCACTGCCCTCATGTTGCTAATTGGCTTGCCCCATTCTCTGAGTGTTAGATACCTTTGGGACAATGGAATGCAGGAAGCTTTGCTTCCTGTGGGTTAGTTTCTTCAAGATGTAGCATATCTTGTGTGTCAGATGTCATTTCACAGTGGAGATGAAAGCTTGGTGACAGCCCTTCGCTCCCACTTTACCACTTAGTCTCTGGGACATAGTCTCAAGAGAAGCATATTGATGAAGGGGGCTGAGGTAACTGGCAGCTTCCTGCGTCACCTTCTCAGATGTGGCTTTGTGTGAAACATAAAACAGATTTGAGGTTTGTGGCCAGGGCAAGCTAACCACTTGTGCTACTGTAGTATAGGGTATGTCCTTAGGCATTGGAGAGGCAACTTCTTTTGGTCCTTGCAGAAAAGGATGTGGCATGTGTTTCAAATCGGTTCAGTAGTGGAACATTGTGCTTGTCCTGCCAGTGGAAGTTATTCCCCTTATTCTTCATGACCTTCCCTCCCCACTTCATGGATACCTCTGTACCTCTGTTCTGACCAACTAGGAAAAGGAGCAGCTCTTTTCTGGTCTCTTGAATATTCGAAAAGTAGGCAGCTAGGTAATGGGCAGTGTACAGCTAGCATGTTCACAAGCTGCTAGCTTGAAGTGTGTGACCTGTGGCATGGCTGGTATCTCATCAGCTACCAGAAGCAGGATGCTTCCTTCTGTGTGTGCTCAGAATCCTATACTAAAACTAGTGTGTAGGGCACTGCTCTTCCAACCTGCCTGCTCCATAATTCACTGCTTCAGGTGGAGGCCTGTTCTGCTAGCATAGGGCCAAGTCTAGACAAGTCACCTCTGGAGCACATACCTTGTGCAGTGTTGAGGGTTAATGGCAAGTGAAGCCACGGTGGCTTCAGTTCTCTCTGTTCAGATGGGGACCATAGAAATATTGCAGGTCTAAGAGAGGGAGAATTTGCTTTATTTCCAAGTGGGTTTGGATCTTTCATATGTATGCCAGTAATAGGACTTGAATTCTGTGTCTTACATCTTTCCTCAGCTTTTTCACTCAGCTGGCACACTACCACTGATCCATACTTCCATTTCCAGCTTTTTGCTGACTGATTAGAGAGGTTTTGCTGCCCAGGATAGCTATGGAGTTTTGATTCTCAGTTCCCAGCCTTTTGAGGAGCTAGGATTATAAGTGTGAACCATTGGTATGCAGTGTGAGTTTGGATTTTTGACAACTGCATCATCAGTGTTTTAAGGAGGGTGGTCCAAGGCCCTGTGGCACACTGTGGCACATTGTGCCTTGGGTTGTTGGCAGTGGGATTCCTAAGCACTGGTGGCAGAAGCTTCATTAATTCTCAAAGCCCAAGAACAAGTTATATGCATCTATGTTTGATTTTTAGTCCAGATTGTGACCACCTCAAGATTCAGTTTTCCTGAGGGCTCTCTTACAGTTCTTTATCTTACAATATCAGTTTAGTGAAGCTGGTTGACCAACTTTTCTTTTGTTTTTATAGTAATGGGATTTGAGCTCAGGGATTTGCACGTGATTGGCAAGAGTTCCAACCTTCACAATACTGTTCTACTAAAAACAAAGTTCTGGGCTTGGAATGTGGCTTAGTAGTAGAGTGCTTACCTAGCATGCATGAAGCCCTGGGCTCAGTACCACACAAACAAGAAAAGCTGGAAGTAGTACTATGTCTCAAGTGGTAGAGTGCTAGCCTTGAGCAAAAGCAGCTCAGGGACAGTGCCTAAGCCCCAGGACTGGCTAAAATTAAATGAATGAATGAATGAATGCAAGCTTCTGGAGTATAGCCAGTTTGCTTAGGTTTGACAAGTCCTCTTTGCATTCATGGCCTTCCATTTAAACCCAGCTTGCCATAGTGGAGAACTGCTCTGAGCCATAAACCTTAACAAATGTGTAGTAACTACAGAAGAAAGTGGCGAGAAATATGAGAAGCAGCCTAGAATAGAAGAAACTGTTCAATGTCCTTTCTGAAGTCTTATTTTCATGTACTGTCTTCCACATTAATGTAGAGTGAAATGTTTTCTTGAACATTACTTAGCTTTCTGTTACTGTAACAAAATACCTGAGATAAGAAATAGAGAGAGAGGAAAGATTTATTTCAGCTCACAGTTTTGGAGCTTTCAGTGCATTGGTCTCTTGGCCCCTTTGCTTTTGGACTGGTGGTGAGCAGCATATGGCAAGGAGCATAGTATATAGCAAAGCCTATAACTTCATGGTAGCCAGGAAGCAAAAGAGAGCATATAGACTTTATTCCACAGTTGTCTTCAAGGTCACACTTCCAAAAATCTTCCCCAAAAAAATCTTCCAAAATCTACTAACTCCCATCTCTTAAAAGGTTTCTACCAACTTTCAGTAATGCCAAGTTGAAAGCCAAACTTTAAAAAACTTAAAAAAAAATTTGTTTTGCACAACTAGAGGTTGAACCCAAGACCTTTGTATGCTAACTAGGCATTTTATTATACCTCCAGCTCAGGATCAAGCTTTTAGTACATGAGCTCCAGATCCCAGTAATAGTATCCTGTAATAATCTCTTGCCAACATCATCATCATCATCATCATCATTGTTATCCTGAGGCTTGAACTCTGGGTCTGGGCATTGTCCTTGAGCTCCCTTTGCTTAAGGCTAATCTCTACCACTTGAGCCACAATACCACTTCTGGCTTTTTCTATGATTAATTAGAGATAAGAGTCTCACAGACTTTACTGCCCAGGCTGGCTTTGAATTGTGATCCTCAGATTTCAGCCTCCAGAGTAGCTAGGATTATAGGTATGAGTCACTGGCTCCTGGCTCCAGTCAACATTAGTTTGAATGACTGTAATATACTGTGAATGTCTCCTGAAGTCCTTAAGTGTTTTCTTCTTAGAGTCCTCCCCACTTCTACCTGATAGCCCTGTTTGAACTCAGGGCCTCACACTCCTTTTTGTTCATTTCTGATACTCTACCACTTGAGCCATTATTCCAACCTAGCTAGTTAGCTAGAGATGGATTCTCCCAGACTTTGTGCCCAGCCTGGCTTTGAACTGTAAGCCTCCAGAATTTAGTCTCCTGAGTAGGTAGGATTACAAGTGTGAGGCACAGATGCCCTACTGCATTCTTTTATTTATTGATTGATTGTGGTACTGGAGTAAGAACTCAGGGCTTCACACTTGCTGAGAAACTCTTTCCTGCTGAGTCATGACTTCAGTCCTATTTTGCACTTATTTTTGAAATAATCTCTCACTTCCTGCCCTGATATGCACTTGGACTGCAGTCCACCTGTTTTAAGCTTCCTGTTGTAGATGGGATGAAAGATATACTTCACCATCTCTAGCTTCCCTTTCTTGAGATGTAGATGCCATCTCAAGGACTTGTCTCCCTGAGCTAGCATCAAACCACAATCCTGTTCTCAGTCACCCAAGTAGCTAGGATTTCAGGCATACAGTTTGGCGCTATTACAAGTGATGGATATATTAGTACATAGTTCTCAGAAGCAAGTCCGTGGTGCCAGTTGCTGGTGACTCACACCTGTAACCCTAGCTTCACAGGAAACTAAGATCTGAGAATCACGGTTCAAGCCAGTTCAGGCAGGTAAATTCATGAGCCTCTTATCTCCAGTTAACCACCAAAAAGCCACAAGTAGAGCTGTGGTCCAAGTAGTAGAGCCCTATCCTTGAGCACAAAAGTGACATTGCTTATCCCCTGAGTTCAAGCCTCAGGACCAACCTCAGTACTGGCACCAAAAGAAAAAAGAAAAAGAAAAAAAAGAATTAGCATTGACCTGGATCTCTTATCTGATATTATTCGTGTAGTTGCTAAAGGAGTGGAGAGGGAGTATTACATCACCTGCAGAAAGATTTACTAGGATCCAAGAGTATGTGAAAACAGCTAAGCTAAGTCACAGGTTTCAAAGAATTACCATCAAAGAAAGACATCTGTTACAAATGTACATGTGGCATAGCTGGCTGGTGGTTATCCTCTAGTTGGGCCTAGGCCATCCACAGAGGACCCCTCTGTCTTCCCTCTGAGCCTTTCTGAACAGTGGACATAGTAGGGAGATCTTTTCTAGATAGCTGTGGCCTGGGAGTAGTGAAATATTATCACTTGACAATGAGTTACTGCTTGATGGCTGCATGGCTCCTCTGATCCACTAAACATTGTTGATGTGTTTTCTTCTGTAATTTCTAGTTGCAAGAAAATGAACTTTCCCTGTCAGGAATTCTCCCTTTTTAAATAAACCACTCAACTTTAAAGTAGATTTATGTTTTTATTCCTTCTTAATTTTCTTCTTCCTGGGTAACATTCATGTTCACCTCTTGTACCACTTGACTTCCAGTTCTTCTCCCTTCGAAAGAACTCTGTAGATGGATTCCTGACTGTGGCCACTAGTTTTAAGTGAATATCTCACATTTCTGTCAGGAGCCCAGGAGAGAGTTTTAGCCCCTCCTGCGGTGCAGGCAGTACCCTCACACCCCTTTCAGTCTCCTTTCTTTCTGAAATGGTAGTGGGCCCTGCTTTCCAGGGACTGGGCTCTACCCCTAGAGCTGGAGTAAGGGTGGCAGGACCCAGAGCCATGGCAAGTGCAGCCTGTCTTGTCTTTATAGTTGAAGAAGTAGAAACTGACGGAGTTTATCCTAGTTGGTACTGGAGTTCCTGCTTCTATAGTCATCTTTGATGCTTAGGAACAGATCTGACTGGTATCCCTGTGGAGGAGAACTTCCTCATAATAGAGAAAGCCCACCAGGTAGAGGTCCAGACTCTCCTGCCATCCCTGACTTCTCCTGTTATTAGTTATGAAGGAAACCAGTTCTGCTATAATCACTAGGACCAATAGTCCTTGGAGGAGACAGGATTTGGGTTTGGTATGGTAATAAGACTTATCTGGGCTCCTTTCCTATTTCAGTAATGGCTGACTTTTCTCATAGCAAGCCTTGTTGGCATGTACTCTTTCCAAATCTTTCCCAAGATTCTGGTCTCCCAGAACTGCCTCAGTCCTAGAGGGCTGTGGGTCACAGGATTCTGATCTGTGGCCAGGACAACCAACAAGGGAGTGTGGCCAGTAAGAAAGAAAGGTCTGGACGCAGCATTCTTGGTCACTTCTACATTCCTGATGTCCAGCTGCACCTGGAGATGCTATAACCTGGAACACATCAGCAAGCCTCCCCTCTTCGTGGGCTGCCTGAGCTGCCCAAGGGTGCCTTACTTTGGCCTTCTTCCTTGAGAGTCTGCACAGCCCTACCTGCCATGCACTGTGATTCTTGTTGCGATCACCTTGTCTGTTGTCCCTCTGTCCTCAAAGATGATTGCTGAAGCCTTGGCCCAAGGTGGGACGCACGTAAGAGCCCGGTTCCCGCCCACCTCCACCATGTCTGCCATCCCGTCGAACTCCATCTCTTTGGGCGGACAGCCCACAGCACAGGTATTTACGGGCCGGGTGGCGCACAGGTCTCGGCCAGGAGCTTGGGGTTCCTCTGAGCGCCTTTGTAAAGCGCACCTGTCATCATTGGTGACTTCCTTCATGGTGGCTTTCAGAGTGCCAAAGCAAGTATCATAATTTTTTTGTTTGTTCAAGTAAGGCTAAACCCAGCTGGTATTTCTTGAGGGGCTATGAATAAATCTGGGGTTTTGTGGGCTTTGGGGGCTTTTTTTCTTCCTAGTTTAAAATAGTCACAGTACTGCTATTTTCATAGTAAAATAAAACAAGCCATGCAAATAATTTGGCTTTCTAGAACTGTGCTATCTAATCCTGTGGTCACAATGTATAGCTACTTGCACTTAAATTAATTAAAATTAAACTAATAATTCTCCTCATGGCAACAGTTACATTTTGAGTACCTCACAGCTCTATGGGAAAGTGCCTGGCTGCTGAACTGGACAGCACAGATCACAGGCAATGGCCATTGTGTAGAGGTGGTGTTGGCCCAGTGGGCAGGGAACTGGATCCACACATGCCTTATGTGATAGATGTAGACTCTGGGAACCTTCTACTTTTCAGAGGAATTAATCCCTGCTTTTCCATTATCGTGGGAAGTTGGACTTGTCCTTGTGTTCTTTTAACAGTTGTCACCCATGTTCTGTGGGCCTAGTTATTCAGCAGGGCTGAGAATAAGATGGGCTTGAGGTTCTTGCATCATAGAGGCTCTACATTTTAGCGAGTTTATCATGAAAACCTCAAATTTGCCAAAAGACCCTTAAAATTCCTTTTCCTTTGCAGGGAAGTGCTGCTGTAAATCTTTGCCCTTTCCTGAGGGCCTGGCTATAGTCAAACCGTGGGCAGTGTGGTGTGACAGACTTTGTGTAGCCGCCTCCAGAGGAGCTGTGGCTGAGCTCCCCTGGGATTCACAAGTGTCAGGTGGGGCTGTGGTGGGAGTGAATGAGCAGTAGCATAGAAAGCAGGACTTATTTGAGGGGTGACATATGCCAGGCCTTTGTGTTGAGCAGGTTGTAGTTCAAACTGAGAAGGGCCCATAACAGAAGGGCTCAAATGAAACTCAACACCTCTGCTTCTCAGTAGGATTCCTCATCAGATCACTCCTGTTGGTCTGATGATATAACCTGGCTGGCCAGGCTTTTGCATGCTCCTGGATGAGCTTCCCCACCTCTGAAGCTACAGAGTCCACCAATGCCTGGTCTGAATTGGGGTTTTTCTTGCCATATTAAGTTGGGATTGCTCTTCGCCATGTACCTAGTGGCTAGTATTTCCACTGGGATTTCTCACAGGCACCTTGTCCCTCCCACCTGCTTCCAAACTCATTCCCTTCCCAGCCTTCCTGGCCTCCTGTGACATATTAGCAGTGACTTCGTGACTTTCAGCAAGTCACCTCTTTCTGAGCTTCCTTGTCACCTGTGATTTACGGGTGACATGTGCAGGGTTTGTGGCAGGCAATCAAAAGCTCTTTCCTGAAAGATGGGCTCTTTTCATCTTGACTTTTGCTAGCAGCTGTGTCCATGTGTAGGACATTGATAGAACAGAACTGGAGACGGCATGAAGGGCATCCCCCTCCCACCAGGCTCATTCCTCCCATTCCTGGGACTGAGTCTCTTCCCACCACATTTTGCTCATTGGGCTAGTTATGTCTACAGATGGGTATTGGGGACCATTCTTTAGACCAGATGTCTGCTAGGACTGGGATGACCCAATGCTAGACCCCTGGAGAGCTCTTTAGGGCTTCCTATTCAGAAAATGAAAAGGTGCTCTTGAATTGTTTTCCCTCCTGCTGGAAGTCTTGGTCATACTTCTCTCATCCTGAGCACAGCCTGAAAGCATCCTCCTATGTGTTAACAAATAGATGTCTTCACACAGGAGTCCCCTCCAAACACATTTGAGAAGCCATCCGTCCCCTAAATTTCCTCTGCACCTCACTGGGGCTGGGTGGCACAGAAGCAGCCAAAGGATGGAGATTGGGTATTGCTTTGAGAGCAATCAGCTGCCCTTCCCCATGTCTTAGATCACAGCCTCATATCGGAGGGAATCTCCTCATCTCCCTCCCTGCCCTGGGAGTTGGTGGTGTGTGCCCCAGGCCCTCTGGTTAGGTACTGAGATGGGAATGTGAGGTACCCTTCTGGCTGTAGCTCCCCAGCCACAAGGCCCTGTGGGGAATATTCTGCCTCACAGAGAAGCATCAGTCTTTAGCCACAGCCCAGGGCTGATGGTCTCCTGTCTTACAAGAAACAGCTGCTTAAACAGGGACTGGGTACAGGTGAAAGAGAAGGGGTAATAGTATGTCCTGGGACTTGAGAAGGGCTAGGCTAGACTGTTCAATTCTTTATACTCTATATTATTTATTTTCCTTGGTACCATCTGTAATTTTCTGCATGGAAACTTACTACTCTGTAGTTTTTGTGAGCACATGGATTGATTCTTGAGCATATTTTCTAGTGGGGGGACATGTGCCTGCACTAGTGTTCCCAGGACCCAGTTTACCCCAGCATCACGAGTGTGTGTTGGACCTATATGTCAGAAACCTGTTACACTTTTTCAGCTCAACATAGCCGTCCCATGTCTGATGCTAACACAACATGAATCTCCATTCAGAGTGACTAGGCCCAGCAGCTAGAGGCCTGTGTTCTCTTAGTCTTCTTTTCCCCTCCCCTCTCTCTCCCCATTCCTTTTCTGCCTTTTCCCTTCTCCCCTCTCTTCCTTCCCATCTAGGGTTTTTTTTGTGGGGGTTTTTGGTGTGCTTTTTAAAAAAATCACAAAGTAATAGAAACGGTTCATTCCATCTGTTACTCTCACTGGGCCAGTGACTTTGCTTGGGGGCACAGACCCAACCTTGTGGACAGCACACCTGTGGGGAGAGGGGGTTTGCCCTGTGTCTTGGTGCTGCCTGCCACCCCAGTGCATACAGCATGGGTTGTGAGGAAGCCTCCATTTGCACTCTGGGCATCTCTATCTGGAACTCTAAGTAGAGTCATCCTTAGCCAGCACTCCTGCCATGGTGAAAGTATGAGTGCAGAACTGTGGCCCCAGAATGTATCAGTATCAGAGGCTATGGACTGGCCCCTCAGAAGGAAGGCTTTGAAGGGGTGCTCAGCAGGTTGAATAATGTGTGGGAGATGCCACCTTGGGCCCTTGACAATCTGGAGTTTTGCAAGGCCTCAGGTTGGTCCCAGTGTGTCAAGGGACTGGCACAACTATCATCTTATGCTTTTCTGCTGGAAGGAGTAACACATCTATCCCTCCATGCCAGACACTGTGGTTTCAGCTCTTGGGGTTCATAGGTGAAGTTGGTGCTAATAGCGGTACAAGTGGCCCAATTTGTACCATCTGGGATGCAAACTAGGGAGCAGAGAGCAGCCCTGTACTGTGGACAGGCCCGGCCTCTGAGGAGTCGAGGCCTGCATTTCTGGGGCAGAGTCACACACTAAGCCTGGCTTCCTGACAGTCACTTGCCCCAGCCAGTGGGTTCTGCATCCAGAGATGGTGCTGGATGAGGCTAGAGCAGGTGTCACCTGTGTATTGGCCTCCTTGGACATACAGTTAAGCAAATCCAGATGGACAGAGTATAAGACACCATGTCTCCATCAAGCAAAAACCAGTCAGAGGATAGAAGACTTTTGTGGCTGACTGTGTTTTGGGGGCCCATCAGCCTGGTGGCTTGGGAGGTCTCGTAGAAGCATGCAGGAAGACTGGCCCATGGCTAGTAGAGCAGGGCCTTATTGACCTACAGATAAGAGCACTGCAGGCATGATGCAGGCCATTGCATTCCCAGACCTTCCTCTTTCTTATACCCCCATGCCACAGAAGCAGGGGAATAGTCATGGCTGTCCAAGCCCAGAGTCCTCGTGTCCTCCACCAAGAGGCCAAGCTACCCTGCCTGGTATTCCTGCCAGCCCCTCAGACACTGTACCCAGAGGTGGTGCTTGTGCCTAGTTGTGTATGGGAGCAGCATCTGAAAGAAGATAGTGGTATAGGGTAAAACTGCAGAGGACAAGCCTTTGGGTGCAGTGGGAAGCTGGGAACAGGTGGCAGTGAGCCGGCTGAGCCCCTCCACTTGCAGGTCAGCCAGAGTGGCCTCACCATGCTGTCCTCGCCGTCGCCAGGCCAGCAGGTACAGACCCCACAGTCAATGCCTCCTCCTCCCCAGCCGTCCCCACAGCCTGGCTCGCAGCCCAACTCCAACGTCAGGTAGGCTGACCAGGGATACCCCTCCTTGCCCAGTCCCTGGGGCAAGCCCACTCAGGTACCCCACTCAGACCTGCTTTCTTTCATTTGACTGCAGCTCTGGCCCTGCCCAGTCTCCCAGCAGCTTCCTGCCTAGCCCCTCCCCACAGCCTTCACAGAGCCCAGTGACAGCCCGTACCCCGCAAAACTTCAGTGTCCCCTCGCCTGGACCTTTAAATACCCCTGGTAAGCTGGACCTGGGGCTGGACCTGGGGTGGACATATCACAAGGGGCCAAGAGTCAACCTCTCCATCCCAGTCCTCAACTTAGAAGGGGTGCATGAGCTCTTGGACCCTTCAGAGCATCTGCACCCCACAAAGGTTGGCAGAGAGCTAGCCTCACCTACTGTGTCCTGCAGTGAACCCCAGCTCTGTCATGAGCCCTGCAGGCTCCAGCCAGGCTGAGGAGCAACAGTACCTGGACAAGCTGAAGCAGCTGTCCAAATACATTGAGCCCTTACGCCGCATGATCAACAAGATCGACAAGAACGAAGGTGAGACTCAGGCTGGGCGCAGGGCCCTGCGAACCCCCTGTGCCCTGTGTCTCAGTATCCCCTCTTTGTCCCAGACAGAAAAAAAGACCTGAGTAAGATGAAGAGCCTTCTGGACATTCTGACCGACCCCTCTAAGCGGTGAGCTTTGCCCTTGGGCCCTGAGCAGGATATGGAAGGTCCCTAGAGCTTGGCAATGTAGGCTTAGCAAAGGAGCCAGCAATTCTGTGACCCCTGACAGAGGCTACACATAGGAGTCCTGCTGTGCTTCAAGCCCAGACTTCAATTCCTTCAGCTTTTGCTCTGTTGAGGATTCCTACTCTGATCCATGCTTCTACCCTGTGGCCATGACAGCCTGGCTCATCCGGCCATTATCCAAGGCCTAGTTTGTAGTGGCCTTTCTGTCAGCTGCTATAATAGGCTAACTTTGTCACCCATGCTCAGCAGAACTAGTTATGGTCATACACGATGGTGACGGTGCCTGTGAAAAGCATATGGGAGGAAGTAGCTGGTCAGGTTCTAACCTTTTCTGCCTGCTAGCCTCATGCTGCTCTGAGCATTAGTCTTGGGTAGCAACACAGACCTGTGCATGTGGATGGTCCTTCTTCTGTCTCTGCCTCACCTCAGCTAAGGTCTGCTTCCTTTCTAGACACATCCCTCATTTGCATACTTGGCGGGGAGAAGGCCCCCCCAAGTATGAGCTTGTTGGAGCTGGACAGCTGTCCAGGCCCTCCTGGGTTGATCCTTCATTGGAGTTAGAGGGATTGGCCTAGAGGAGGCTGAGGTCTTCTCAGTCTGGGTTGGGAGTGGCTGTGGACTGGCTGGGTTTGTGTGGTTGTGGCCCAGGAGTCTGGATCAACACCCAAGCATCACCTGCTTCCCTGGCCCCCCAGCACAGAAGGATAGCCCACATGTTCTCTTCCCTCAGGTGTCCCCTAAAAACCCTGCAGAAGTGTGAGATTGCCCTGGAAAAACTCAAGAATGATATGGCAGTGGTGAGTAGAGCCCCAGGGTTGTACATACACTGTAGCTAGAAGGAGCTTTTATGCAAAGGCCAGTCTGCTATAGAGAGTGAGGACCTGAAAGAGGTCACCCTTGTCTCCATGGGTATTTGCATGCATTTGCCAGCCTAGCACAAGGCCCTAGCCCAGGGAAGGAACCTGGGTGGGAATGAGGTTGTTGGGGCAGGATTCTTTCCAGGAATACTGCAGGAAGCTGCTGTGATGAGGGACCTGGGATCTGGAAGACCTGTTCAGGAGGGGTTGACGCCACAAGCCCAGGCTGGTGACCTTGCCCATCTTGTTCCCAGCCCACCCCCCCACCCCCACCAGTGCTACCAACCAAGCAACAGGACCTGTGCCAGCCACTCCTGGATGCTGTCCTGGCCAACATCCGCTCGCCTGTCTTCAACCATTCTCTGTACCGCACATTTGTGCCTGCCATGACAGCCATCCACGGCCCACCCATCACGTATGTGCGGCTGGGGCTAAGGCTCATGATGGGCGGTAGGAGGACCAAGGCTACATGTAATCATGTCACCATGGTCCCCATCCAGGGCTCCCATGGTATGCTCCCGGAAGCGAAAGCTTGAGGAGGATGAGCGCCAGAGCATCCCCAACGTGCTCCAGGGGGAGGTGGCCCGGTTAGACCCCAAATTCCTGGTGAACCTGGACCCTTCCCACTGCAGTAACAACGGCACTGTCCATCTGATCTGCAGGCTGGGTGAGTGTTCAGGCAGGGTTGGGTGGCTTAGGAGAGCAAGGCCTTACCTTCCCATACCAGGGCTTCAAAACACTGGTACTTGCCAGGTACGTGCTGGTGGAGGCTCAAAGCTATAATCCTGTCTACTCAAGAGGCTCAAGTTCATAGGATCCAGTTCAAAGTCAGACAGGGCAGAGAATTTTCTAGGCATTATAAACTTGGAGGCATAGCCCAAGTGGTAGAATGCTAGCTGAACAAGGGAGTTGAGCAAGAGCACAATACCAGCCTGCTAAGCTACCTCCTCCGTCCTCACTCCCTTTGAGAAGTGGCTCTTGTCTGAGGTTGTGGAGGGAACTGTGTCAGCACCCCTGGATACCCATCTTCACAGGGGACTCCATGACCCAGTGTTCAGAAGTCCTAGAGGCATCCAGGCCAGCAGCAAGGCTCCCTGCAAGGAGTAGAGAGCCAGTTCAGGAGCAGGGCTGTGTGTGTTAGGGCTTGGGCCAGATAATAGGTGCAGCCTTATGTGTTACAGATGACAAGGACCTCCCGACTGTGCCACCGCTGGAGCTCAGTGTGCCCGCTGACTACCCTGCCCAGAGCCCCTTGTGGATCGACCGGCAGTGGCAGTACGGTGAGCCAAAAGGGGATACCTGGGGGCCAGGACAGGTGGGGCCAGCTCTGTAGGTCAGGAACACTTCTCTGTCCCTCCTACCTCCCCTGCACGGGCGGGAAAATGTTGCTCACTGGTCACCTGGAGACAGCCTCTGCCCTGCATTGTGTCCTTCACTCTCTGTTTCATGACTCCAGGAAGCTGTTTGTTAGGGGAGGGGTGAGCAAGCTCATGGCTTCAGGATAGACCCAGCTGTTCCTGGCAGCCACCACAGAGCTCTGTAGTGCTGACACAGGGCCACTGCCAGGAGCTTGGGCTCATGATGATCCATCTGAGGGAAAGATGAGTCTCTTTGGTAGACATTTTTTCCCCCCACCCTGGCATACAGCAGAGCTAGGCTGGGTCCCTAAGAGTGTCACAGAGGAAAAGCCAGGGGCTCCAGATCCAGTTCACATTCCAGTTCTTCACTGAGTTTGGGACTATGAAGACCGCCCATCTGCCAGGCAGGAGCAGGAGACCAAGACCAAGGCAACTCCTCCCAGAAGTGCTTTCCGGCCTGGGGCTCAGGTCCAGCTGCTCCTTGCAGAAGGCTTGGCACTTACCAACTCACTGCTCTCTTGCAGATGCCAACCCCTTTCTGCAATCAGTGCACCAGTGCATGACCTCCAGACTGCTGCAGCTGCCCGACAAGCACTCAGTCACCGCCCTGCTCAACACCTGGGCACAGAGCATCCACCAGGCCTGCCTCTCAGCTGCCTAGCCAGGAACTGTGAGGACCGCCTGCAGCCTTGTTGGGCTGCAGGCCCACACCGCCTCTTGAACATTTCTAGGTGTTGGCTTCCTTAGAGCCTGGGGTTAAGTTAGCTTTCCTGCTTTTATCTCCTGCCTTGGGGACCTACCAGACGTTTCCCCATACTTGTGCAGCACAGGGCCAGGTGACTGGAGCTGGCTACCCAGGGAGTGAGGGTCCTCCTAGAGAAAGTTCTCCCTGTGTTCTCTCCAGGTTCTGTCTACTCAGCAGCATGGGGGAGAGCTCAGGGTCTCGTCCAAGCATCATGTGCTAGAATACATTGTACTCGTTTTTTATAGGCGACTGTGGAAGACACAAGAAAATCCTAGGCCAACTTTGCTCAGTATTGGGTTCGTACTGTGCCACTTGTGGCATGTGGACCACATACAGCGACACTCCTAGATAGAGGACATGGGGTCCTGTCTGGAGGGACCTCATGGGCCTCCTGCTCAGCGCTGTGAGGGCACAGGGGTGTCTGAGAGCCTGATCCCTCTGTCACTTGGGTGAGGGTGCTGTGACCTGTGGCTGGGCCCCAGTATCCTCAGAACACCTACTTTCCATGCCAACCCCCAGAAAATCTGGGCTTCCTTGAGGATTGCCCCCCTGGGTCACTTGCCACACTGGGCAGCACCAGCAGCCCTCTGGTGGCAAGTTTTCCCTTTTTATATGTGCACTACTCTGTCATATGTGGTTCTTAAAATAAATTTATTATTCCTGTGTTTGTTCTTCACTGTATCCCCTCCTCCCTTAAATCAAGGTCACTATCAGTCTCAAAGGTGACTAGTTGGGCCCAGGATGCCCCACACCTTAGCTCTTCTGTTCCTGAGTTCTTTTGCTCAAGGCTAGCACTCTACCACACCACTACTTCTGGGTTTTGTTTGTTTGTTTTTGGGGGGTCGGTCGTGGGGCCTGAACTCTGGGCCTGGGCGCTGTCCCCCAGCTCTTCAGCTCAAGGCTAGTGCTCTACCACTTGAGCCACAGCTCTACTTCCGGCTTTTTCTGCTTATGTAGTGCTGAGGAATTGAGCCCAGGGCCTCATGCATGCAAGGTAAGCGCTCTACCACTGAGCTACCTTCCCAGCACCTACTTCTGGGTTTTGGTGGTTAATTGGAGATAAGAGTCTCATGGACTTTGCTGACTGGGCTGGCTTTGAACTGTGATCCTCAGATTTCACCTTCCTGGGTAGCTAGGATTACAGGCGTGAGCCTCCAGTGCCTGGTTCTTGTGTCAGCCTGGTTTGTACACTGGTCAAATTCCTGCTGTGGTTCATGCCAGAGAATAAGGCAGTGGGGCCATGCTGCCGCTGGAGTAGACACAAGCTGACCACCTCACGGTGATATATGCAGTTGCTGTTCTGGAGGTGGGGGCGAGGGAGCAGCTAGCTCGAGAGGACAGTCCTCCTCTGGCGGTGGACTCCAAGCACAAAGGGCCCAGCTGGACCCTTGTTGGCAGCGAAGGACAGTGTTGCACCTATAGGAGTGCCCGTCTAGACAGGAAACTCAGCCTAGAAGGCCATTCTTGGGCCAATCGAGATCAGAAAGCCACTTGGCCTCCAAGAAGGTAATGTGGGGCTCTGCTAGCAGTTTACCTTGAGGGAAGTCATCAGCTCCTGGGATGAGGCATCCTTGGCTGCCCCAGGCCTGGCATTCCAGACTAGCAGAATCCTCGATGAGGGACAAATGGCCAAAGAGAGACTGATAGCCATGAGACAAGGAAACTAGGTGAAACAAGCTTTATTTTCTGTTTTCAACTGGTAATAATGTGCTTTTGTGTAAATAAAGAATAGCAAAACAGTAGTGAGAAAATAGTTTTTCAGCTCCGAGATTAAGTACTTTATCTGTCATGGTTTTTGCCTAACTTGGAATTGAGTGGCTGAAAAGTAGTGGAATCGTGGGAGGGGAAGGGAGAGGGCAGCAGAGCTGCCGGACGCTGGCTCAGAGCACCGAGCGATGCAGGCGCCGGTTCTGCACCACCTGCAGCCGCTTCTGCCGCTCTGCGAAGTTGCTCTTCAAGCTCTGCTTCAGAGCAGGCAGGATGCCTCGCTCTGCCGTGGACATTGGGCTCAGAATCAGGCTGCAGGTATGGAGAGGGGTGGCTACCATGAGCAAGCAAGCCTCTACAGCTTGTGAGTGCCCTGGAATTTAGGCCTTCTAGGAGCTGGCTCTGTTTCTTGAGACCCAGCCTGCCTCCCTGTAGACACTATGTGCAGGGCTTCCCACTGTCCCATGCCAGGGGCCTTACCACTTCTTAGAGATGCCCTTGGTGGAGACCTTGGGGAACTGCATGGCCTCCTGGTCTCTGGGGAAGGAAGTCAGCAATGAGCCCGTGTTGCCAGGTCCTATTGGGCTAGGGCTGGGGGGCACAGGGACACTCACTTGAGAGAACCAGACCCGGCCTCAGTGACAGCCTTAGACCTCTGATTCCCCTCCAGGAGAGACTTGAGGTGTTGCAGCTAAAAGGCAGGGAAGAGAGATACAGTGGGATGCATGGTGAGGCCCACATTGGTGCCAGTCCACTCCCGCCCAGGCCTCACCTCTTGGGCCTGCAGAAGGTTGGCATTCCACAGCTGCCGGATGACCACCTCACACTGCTGCACTGTGGTGGGCTTGCGCAGGTGTGGGGGCAGGCTCAGTGAGGCAGCTGCCCCTGTCACCTGCTTTCCCCTGTGCTGGCTGCTCCCTACCAAGGGTGCCACTGAATTAGAGATCTCCGCATCCTCGTCTCTGAAACATCATTATGGCAGCTCCGAGATGACCTGTAGTTTGGTATAACCACCTACCTGCCAGCCTCCCCAGGGTGCTGCCCATGCCAGTGTGGATGTGAGAAGTGGAGAAGGCCCTGCCCGTTCTCACACAAACCAGGGTATCCTGGGACCAGCCGGGAGCAGGGTCAGATAGGGGTTGAGTGGAGCGTGGCTAGCTGCTAGGCTACCCTGAACCGAACCCTCCCTGCAGACTTCTAAGGAGTGTTTTAGGACTATACAGAGAAGCAGGCCAAGTGCTGGCCTTCACAGCAGCAGGGAGGCCTTACGAATTTAGGAGTCAGCAGAGCCTGGCTCTCTCTGTCTTGCTAGCTTTCCAAAGGCATCCTGTGCCCATCTCAGTCTAACCAGGCCCGGGAACCCAATATAACTGTACTTGGTTTAAAAAAAAAAAAAAAAAAAAGCCAGGCACTGGTGGCTCACGCCTGTAATCCTAGCTACTCAGGAGGCTGAGATCTGATGATCATGGTTCAAAGCCAGCCTGGGCAGGAAAGTTCGTGAGACTCTTATCTCCAATAAACCACCAGAAAACTGGCAGTGGTGCAGTGGCTCAAGTGGTAGAGCATTTGCCTTGAGCTGAAGAGTTCAGCGCCCAGGTCCAGAGCTCAAGCCCCACAACAGATAAAAAAATAAAAATAATAATAAGCCAAATCACTTTTGGTTTCTTCTCTCTGAGAAAATGGTTTGGGGGGTACCGCTGGTTCTCTTGATTCAGGCCCTCACAGGATCCCTTCATGACCCCCAGGGAGGGGGAAGAAACTGGTACCCATCAAATAGGGCCTCCAGCTGACCACTTCTACGAGCCCGGTGCAATCAGGCCCATGGAGGAGGAGGCAAAGCTGCTGGTCCAAGGGTGAGAGCCTATGATGAAGTGCCGCCATGGGGTCTTTGGGGTGCAGCCAGGCCCTAGGAAGCAGGAAGCCCTTACTTGGTCTGGCCCTGTACCCCAGGGACTCTGTCCAACTTGCTGCTTTGACTCGTGGAAGCACCAAGTGGCTGTTCTTCTAAGTCCATCTTCTGGGAGATGTCAGTTTTCGACTCTTGTTTCCTGCAGGAGCCAGGCTGGGACCTGGTCTTGGCTTGAACGGTAGCTGCAGGGCAGATCCAACATGTCGTCACTACAGGCCTCAAGACCTACAGCCCAAGGTCTTTAGGATTGGCCACTGGAGCCCTATCCCTGCCTCAGTGTAGCCCTCTGTAAAGGGAAGATGAAAACTGTGTGTCTCTCTGATGGCTGTTAGGAGGGTGACTGACCCCTCTGAGTAGTTGCTGTAGAATGTTCTAAAACAGTCACAGTAGTTGGAAGCTGGCCTTCATTTTGGGTACAGTGAAACTGAAGGAGAGGCCTAGTCCCTGTCCACACATGCCTGTTGTCCCAGGTCCATTGCTTACTAGCAGGGCTGCTGGGAGGACGGCAGCATAGCGGAAGAGACCTGCAAAAATGGTCTGTGGGCAGGCTCATCCCACCTGCATCTTGCCTGCGTTGGAGACACAGGCTAAGCAGGGCTTCTACTAGGCAACCACTACCCACCCTCCTCCCAGGAATTCCACTACAGAAAGCACTTGGAGGTCCCTCTTGCTGTCCCTGACTCCTCACTGTCTTGCCCTGCATGGGCCTGCCACGGCACCTTTGTGCCCTACAGTGACACAGTGATAAAGACTCAGTCTTGCTAGAGTAGCCTGCCACTAGACCATGGTTCTTGTGCTTCCCATTTCAGCTTGGGGCATTAGCTCCACCCCCACTGTATCTTGACTCCTTTTGGCTGCCCTTGTGTTCCCAAACCACAGGGTCTTCCCTGAGATTTGCCTGACAGAGGGCCACTTTGAGTTTGCAGCTTTCTAGTTAATACCCCATAATGGCCACACAGCCCTGGACCTCAGCAGAGCACTCCTCCAGCTTGGAGTACAAACAGGTGCCGATCTACTCACCTGATATTGAGCTGGAAATGGACTTGTTGGACTGGAGGCTCAAGGAGGAGCTGCTTCCTGCAGGAGGGGACATAAGACTCAGACCAAGACAATGGCAACTTACCTATGCTTACCACTTAGCCCTGAGTGTTGGTTCAAACCTGTGGGCTCCCTATGATACGCATATTCCCATACAGCAGCGCCAGACCCAGCACAGCACCCCCAGGAAAAGAGACCCCTGGAAAGACTTCCTGAGGGACCATCCAGAAAACACAGGAAGCCTATACCAAAGGAGCATCAGGTACTGCTGTTGAATATGACCTCCCTCTCCTGCTTTCCTAGCAAGGCCTCCAAGTCCTGCAGAGCTGAAACCACTAGCTCAGGCTGTGTGTTGCTCAGAGCAGCCTGATGGGTCTGTTCTGCTCTGCTGGACAAGGGGCCTCCTACCTGTTCTATTGAGTCTTCAGGAAGGGAAAGCCCTGGGCAGGCTAGACACAAGAACATTTCCACCTGGCATCTTAACTAGCCAAATCACTTGATGTCCAGAAGGTAAGTGAGCCAAGGAAATTAACTGAGGCATCCCTGAGTGGGGTCATCATGAAGAGGAATGCCTTAGACATGTGGCTTGCAGGTCTGAGTTTGGCACGAAGGATTCCCCTAGGGAAAGTGCATAGGCTGGGGTATCTGGGTGAAACCAGTTAGGGTGGGAAAGCCCAGCAGTTCTGCTCAGTTAAGGGTAGATCTGCAGGCTCCCCAATCCTGACTGCCCAGGGGCTCTGAGCATGGTACCCAACTGTGGCTAGGATAACTGGCATGAGTTCTAATCCCCCGAACCAGTCCTGACTGAGCAGCCAGATGGGCACAGGGTTTGGAGGGGATGTTGTGGACGGTGGTAACTTGCCATTGGGCACTCGGACTCAGTTGTACCTTTCTTTTGTGGCTTCTGATTCATTATTAGCTTGTAGTGGAGATCTGAAAGCAAGCACATACTCCGGTTACTTTTACAAGGAAGACAAAGGACAATGTTAGACCTGCCCCATTTTTGCCTTGGTCCTCCCATTGGGCCCAAGTCTCAGCTGGTGATCGTGCTGACTGGATTCTGTTGTGGAGCCCACCAGCTTTCTCCCACCAAACCTTTACCTTGTGTATTCTGGGCAGAAATGCCTCTGGATGTTGCCTGTCATCCCACATCATGCCCCTGATGTCTTCAGGACACCCACTTCTAGGCCAGGTCGCAAGGGGATATGATGGATGACAGCTCTCTGATGAATGTGAGCAATGCAGGGGTCAAACAGTACCTAACACAGGGCTGGTCAGGCCAGGCATCAGACTGGATAAGATTCTAGAAAGCATGGGGAAGGGGATCCATCCACATAATAGACTCCCAGTGAGGGATTCTAGCACTTCAGGTACAGAGAGCACCAGAAAACAGGACAAAATTGATGCCTCAGGTGGGCAGAGGATCCTTGGCTAACATGGGCATGTTTAATTTGTGAGTTCTTGGCTACATTTAACCTCTAAAAATCTTTTATGGGGGCTGGGAAAGGTGGCTCAGTGGTGGAGTGCTTGTCTTGCATGCATGAGGCTCTGGGTTCAATTCCTTAGCACCACATAAGCAGAAAACAGCCAGAAGTGGCGCTGTGGCTAAGTGGTAGAGCGCTAGCCTTGAGCTAAAGAGTTGAAGAATAGCACCCAGACCCAGAGTTCAGGCCCCACGACTGACACCCCCCCAAAAAAATCTTTTATGGGTGGTCAGTTGTGGGGTTTTTTTGTTTGTTTTTTGTCAAGGGGCTCGAACTCTGGGCTTGGGCTCTGTTCCTCAGCTCTTCAGCCCAAGGCTAGCATTCTACCACTTGGGCCACAGTACCACTTGTTTTCTAGTGGTTTATTGGATAAGAATCTCACAGGCTTTCCTACCCGGGCTAGATTTGAACCGTGATCCTCAGATCTCAACCTCTTGAGTAGCTAGGATTACAGGCGTAAGCCACCAGCACCTGGCTAGTTATGGGGTTTGAACTCTGGACATTGAGCTTGCTTGGCTTGCTTGCTTTTTGCTTTACCACTGAAGCCATGCCTCCAGCTCGCTCTGCTCTTTACTCATTGTCCTGGGAAGTTTTTTATTTTTTTTTATCCAGGCTGGCCTCAAACCAAGATTCTCCTAATCTCAGCTAGGATTTACAGCTAGGATATACAGACATGAGCTATGGTCATCCAACTTTGTGAACACTTTAGCTCAGGACCTAGACCCTGTCCCAGAGCTTTTATTTATTTTTCTTTTTTCCCAAGACGAGTGCTCTACCATTAGAACCACAGCCCACTTCTAGCTTTTTGGTGGTTCATTGGAGATAAGAATCTTATAGACGGTCTTGCTTGGGCTGGCTTTGAACTTCGATCCCCACATCTTAGCCTCTTAGTGGCTACATCTTGAGCCACCAGCACCAGGCTTTTGTGAAAACTTTTTAACAATATGGTGGTCTGACTCTGCAGAGCCAGCTGCAGAGGAGGAGTGTGTAGTGGGGAGATGACTCTCTGGACAGGGTGTCTGGGAGCAGGAAGGAGGCCAACGGCCAGCCAGAAGATGCTGCCTTGTATTTTCTCCATATCTCAAGTCTGTTCTAGAGTATATGTGCTGAGCGCTTCTGGCCGCAGCAGGCCGGGGAAGCCCAGGTGTGGGGACCCGGGAGCAGCTGGACTCACCTTTGTTCTCCCGTTTCAGGTACTCGATCTCCTCATGGAGCTTGACCAGCGTCTCCGAGTGCTGCTGCTGCAGAAATTGCAGGCTCTTCTCTAGATCCAGGATCCGCTTCTGGGCTTCGTAGAGCCCAAGCTGCGCAGCAGGCTGCTGCTGGCCTGAGGGGCGCGGGCGCGGTCGGGACGAGCTCCTGGAGCTGGAGTTCGAGCTGACGGGCCGTGGTGCGGCCATCACCCACGCCCCTCTCAGTCGCCCTTGGCGTCCCTGCCACCGCCACTGCACGCAGCCTGCTCAGTGGCCAAGCTGACCCGACTTGGCTCCGCGTCGCCACGGGAACGGGCGCGCCCGCGGGGGCGTGGCGTGTGGCTGGGGCGGGGCCTGTGACCGCGTTCTGCCCAGGCATTTACACCTGAATTAGAAAGCACAGCTGGCTTGAACTTGTTTGAGAACTTGTTTGCGTCCGCTAATATTTCTCTTTATCCATTGTAACGGCTCGCCTTTTGAATAGGATATGGTTACAGGCACAAAAATCAACAAAAAAATCCAGTTCCAGCAATCGCAGAATCTTTATTATTATAAATGTAGGTAAAGTAGAAAAGAGGCCAGATTGTGATGAATGCAATTCCAGTTACTTAGGAAGCAGAGATGCAAAGAACACAGATTCAAAGCCAGCTGGACAAGAAGTTTTTTTGTTTGTTTGGTTTTTCCCCCTGGGGCTTGAACTCAGAGCTTGGGCATTGTCCCTGAGCTTCTTTTGCTCAAGGCTAGCACTCTACCACTTCATCCATAGCACCACTTCTGCCTTTTTCTGTTTATTTGGTACCAAGGAATCAAACCCAGGGCTTTGTGCATGCTAGGCAACTCTACCACTAAGCCACATTCCCAGCCCTGGCAAGAAGCTATTAAAATGTCACCTCAATAAGATCTTGTGGGCCTGGTGCCGGTGGCTCACATCTATAATCCTAGCTACTCAGGAGGCTTAGATCTGAGCACCATGGTTCAAAGCCAGCCCAGGCAGGAAAGGCCATAAAACTCTTATCTCCAATAAACTACCAGAAAAAAAATGGAAGTGGCTCAAGTGGTAGAGTGCTAGCTAAAGAGCTGAGGAACAGCTCCATGACCAACAAAAAGATTTTTTTAAAAATCTGTGGGGCTGGGAATGTGACTTAGTGAGTAGCACTCTGGGGTGCTGCGTTCAATTTCCTTGGTACCACATAAAAGTAAAACCAAAAATGTCTTGTGGTAGTGCATACCTGTAAATCCAGGTAATCCCAGCTACTCAGGAGACTGAGATGGAGAGGATAGTTCAAGGCCAGCTAGGCAAGCAGGTTCAAGAACCTGGATCAACCAATAAAAAGATGCCAGTCTACCAGGGTACTTGGAAAAATATAAATAGGATTGCCATGCAGGCCAGCTAGGTCAAAAACCAAAACCCTATTCAAAAACTAAAGGAAGGAAAAAGGCTGGAGTCATGGCTTGAGAGGTAGAAGAACAGCTACCTAGGAAGTGTGAGGTCAAGTTAAGACCCCAGGACCACCATCTCAAAACAACCAACAACAACAAAAAAAAAAACAGGCACCAGTGACTCATGCCTGTAATACAAAGACAAGCCAGGTGCTAGTGGTTGTAATATTCAGGAGTCTGAGATCTGAGGATCGAAGTTTGAAGCCAACCTAAGCAAGAAAGTTCATAAGACTCATTTCCAGTTAACTACCAAAAAGCTGGAAGTAGAGCTTTGGCTCAAGTGGTAGGGCTCTAGCATTCAGCACAAAAAGCTAGAGACAGGGCCTAGGCCCTTGAGTTCAAGCCCCAGGACTGGCAGCAAAACCAAAACAACTGTGTGGCTACACACAAACAAAAGGCATGGGGAAGAGAAACAACAAATAGAAGCAGCTTTTTCTCTTCTCCCTGGATTTTTCTTTTTTTTCCAGTCCTGAGGCTTGAACTCAGGGCCTGGGCACTGTCGCTGAGCTTCTTTTGCTCAAGGCTAGCACTCTACCACTTGAGCCACTGCACCACTTCTGGTTGAATGGTTAGTTGGAGATGTCTCATGGGGACTTTTCTGCCCAGGTGGCATTGAACTGTGAACCTCAGATCTCAGTCTCCTAAGTAGCTAGGATTATAGGCTTAAGCCACTGGTACCTGGCCAAAGCCTATTTTTTTTTTTGGGGGGGGGTCTGGTCGTGGGGCCTGAACTCTGGGCCTGGGCGTTGTCCCTCAGCTCTTCAGCTCAAGGCTAGCACTCTACCACTTGAGCCACAGCGCCACTTCCGGCTTTTTTCTTTTTGCTTATGTGGTGCTAGGAAATCGAACCCAGGGCCTCAGGCATGCAAGGCAAGCACTCTACCACTGAGCCACCTTCCCAGCCCCCCAAAGCCTATTTTTAGAACTGGAATATGGCTGACATTAATTCTGAATAGGAACAAAAGTTGATTGGGAAATCATTTGACCTATTTTTGTACCTTTACATTTAAGTAAACTGCGTTAAGAATTCTGGATTTGAGCCAAATCAGCTAAATTTTCAAGTGATGGCAATGCAGTCACTTCTGGACTAGGGGTGTGTCTTAGGGGTAAAGGATTCTAGCATCTTCAAGGCTCTAGGTCTAATCCCTCCCCCCCTCCCAAAAAAAAAGCCAAATCAACAGTCATTAATGAGGGCTGATCTTATCAGTGACCTTTTAACTTTCAAACAGCTGCTCATGGCATGTCTGAGTGAGATGTTGACCTGGGGATTGTTGGTTAGTTCAGGTCAGTCCCAGCTACTCATGATTCTTTTTTTTTTTTGTCAGTTGTGGGGCTTGAACTCTGGGCCTGGGTGCTGTCCCTCAGCTCTTCAGCTCAAGGTGAGCGCTCTACCACTTGAGCTATAGCGCCACTTCCAGTTTTCTGGTGGTTTATTGGAGATAGGAGTCTCACGGTCTCTCCTGCCCAGGCTGGCTTTGAACTGCGATCCTCAGATCTCAGCCTCCTGAGTAGCTAGGATTACAGGCGTGAGCCACCAGCGCCCGGCTACTCATGATTCTTGAATCTCCTGTAAGCCCGAGATATGTTTTGAGAGATCTGCTTTACATATTAAAGCCAATTCTGATCTGTGGAATACAAGGTGAAATTCACAGGGTTCACCATCACCACAGGGCCACCTTCTACATTATCTATCTGCCTTGGTTTGCTGCTGCTGTAGATTCATCCACCCTGGGAGAGAAACACAAAATATCCAGATGACCAGTCTCCACTGTCATTATCCAGTTGTTTCTGCAGCTCCCAATTGCCCAGCGACCCTGTGCAAGGTGAACCAGTTGCTAGGCACTTGAACTCAGGTACTGAAAGACTCAGAAGCAAGAATGGGTTTATTCTGATCATGGTAGGTTACAAATTTGGGGGTGACTTTTGGTTAGATCCCAAAATGTATTTTAAGATTACTTCAATCGAAATACAAAGCCCAGCATTTGCCACTTAAAAATTTTTTAAATTCCCCACACACCCCAAAGGCTTGGTTTATAAAAAATCATCATGGAGGTGCTGTTGGTAAGTCATCCGCAGGATGAATGAAGGAGACATCCATGACATGACCATGTTGTCATATACTATGAACATCAGTGTTATCAAAAGGTGATTTCAGTCTTTAGACCCTTGGCTTTACTGAGGACAAACAATGCTTCTGACCATCTTTGGTTGTAGGTAGAAACGGGCAGGATGCAACTCCATGGACCCAACCGCACTGCTGTGCTCTGAAAACCAGGCCCACCTGCCACATGGCTATGCCCGGGCTGGACCCCAAGAAGGGTGTACTTGGTCAACTCTTTGGGGTGGGGGGTAGAAGAGATGTAACATTGTCCTATTACACCTGTGCCTGAGAGGGCTTCCTGGAACTCAAAAGTGGAATTCTATGGCCCAGCCATATAATGTGACAAAATCTAGATCTGCAGTTATGAATCATAAGTCATTATCTAATTTCCTCAGGAATCTTTAGAAACGTTGATTCTTCCTTGGAGCGGATGCTGAATGTCCTGGTTATTTCACAGGGAGAGGAAAGGTCACTCATGGCCATTTCTACCTCTAGGATTGCCAGAGAGGAAAGATTAAGGCTAGGCCAGTTCCTTGAAGGTCAGGCCTGAAGTCAACTGTGGGAATGCTAATCCAAGCTTTACCTGGCAAAATCCTAGAAAGGCCTGAAGAAACAGCTCAGCTGCTTGTGGGGCTATGGGCTGAGGGACATGGCTCATGAACAAGGCCCTTTGCATGCCAAACCTGCAACACTTCCTCCTTTCAGTTTCTTCTGGATCACCCTACTACTGCAAGAAAAGAACCCCAAAGGTAACGATGCTCTCGTTTGGAAGAAGCTTGCCAGGACTTCTCAGGCCAAGGAAGGGGGCATGCCGTACATCCTGCTGGTCTATATTGGAGTCAGTGGCCAACTGTCAGAGTTGGTGCAGCTTCCCTCGCTCAGTGAGCAGTGTCATGGCCATGGCGTAGAGGAGGTAGCCCAGGACAAGGAGCAAGGAACAGGGCAGGGGCCCGATGCAGAACAGAGAGGCCACAAAGAAGACTGAAAGGAGTGAGAGCAGTGTCCGGTAGCTGCCCAGGAAGCGCAAACTGAGCCTAGGGCCCCGGGCCTGGCTGGTGGCCTGTCTCCGCCCCACAGGGCTCAGCAGGTGCCTGTCGGCCAATGCAGGCTCTGTGAGGTGGTATCGACAGAAACTGCCAAGGAAGTCATCCCGGGAACACAGAGCAGTCATCTGGCCTGCAAACTAAAGCACAAACAAGGACTAGTGGTGGTGGTGATGGGGAGTGGAGGAGGTGTGGGCAAATCCGAGGACAACAGAGCACCCACCTTCCCAGCCCACTCCCAGGACTCATTTCTACCCAGACACTCCATAGCCTGCAAGATTACATGGAATGTGAAGGTGAGGGGGACACCCAGTTCCAGAAGCAGCTAGGCTCCCCCCGCAGTCCCATAAACACTAACTCTGTGATTGATGGCAGATGATAGACGGAAGAGTGCTCGGACAAGGCTGGCAATCTCATAGCTCCGGATGGGCTGCAGCTCTGAATCTCCCTGGTACTCGATTTCAAACCTTCGCAGTCCATTGATGATCTAGAAATTGCAGACAGCTTTGAAAATACATGTTTGCAAACAACCCAGAGAGACTGTCTCTGTTTACTAGAGGGAGGAAGAATTGAGGGCTGGTTATATGGTAGCAGATGCCTCTTGGTGACTTGGGTCCTTTACC